TTAGTTTGATTCACAGTAAAAAAAAAAAAAAAACATTCAAATACTTCTTTTTTTTTTCTTTTTTTCCACCAAAAAAATGACCTTTTTTTTTCTTGAGGGATACCCCTTTCCCATTTCTATGAACTATTAATCACAAGGCAAAGCAGAATCAAGAAGAACAGGAGCTGCTAACAAAATACAAAACCCAGAGCAAAATCAACACCACAGGCAAATCTGAGAACACAAAAAGAATGAGAAAGCCTTTGTTATTTTCATAAGGAACTTTTATTCTATCCAGTAAACGTACGCAGAGGAAGATTCGGTTTTAGGCAAAAAAAACACCTGTACCGAGTTTTTTCAAACTCGGTACAGGCGCGAAAAACTCGGTACAGGCGCTTTTTTGCCTAAAACCGAACCTTCCTCTGCGTACGTTCACTGGATAGAATAAAAGTTCTTTCATAACAGCCCAAATCTTTAATTATCAAAATATTATCTGCTTTAATCTAACTGCATCATAATTTTATCCCGTTAATATAACTTCCGAAGAGTTAACAAGTCCACTTAACCGTTGAATTTGTTAATAAAAATTTCAACCATTACATCAAAAAAACATCTTGATGTTTAAAGTTTTTTTTTTTTACTTAAAAGTTTCACCGATTGAACAAAAGAAATAGATGTCAATAACTTATTCTTAAGATAAAATGATCCAAACTCAATCATTCAATTTGATTTTAATCAATCAAGCCTAATTCTAATTAAAATCAATTAACCTCAATTTATGTCGTCACATTCATTTCAATTCAAGCAAAAAATTTAGGTGGAATTCAGACCTAAAAAACTAGCTTTTCTCCCAAAAAACAACAAAAGGATCCCTTTGATTTGTCTTTTCAGAACACTGACCTCTCCATTACTGCATTATACTTTTAGAAAAACCCCATTTTCCCCATCCGTAGCTCCCAGAAAGCATTAAAATAGAGAAGCAGAAAAAAATTAATAATCATAAAGTTTATGGAGGGTAAGAATAGAATCATACCTGTAATTTGTGATCGGGAAATGGAGCAATTATTCTGTGCGAATACCCGGAAGTTTAAGCGTTCGGTATCGAGTACAGTATATTTTTAGAACGATGTGGCACGTTTTTATTGATATTCGGTATCGAGTGCAGTATATTTTTAGAACGATGTGGCGCGTTTTTATTGATATCCAGACGAATCCAGAGACCTCAGGTAATAATTTTTCATGAATATGGCAGGCTGTAAAACTGCACACATTCTCCTTTATGATAAATCACGGGTGGAGAGCTTTTAGGTGTACCTGGCTATGGAAAGTAGGTGGAGCTGTGAGGGAGGGCGCAATCTAAAAACTGGTCTTGCTGCAGCTTCAGCAGGAGGGGAAGCTTTTACGTCATCTTTGGTTCATCTCAGCAATTCGTGTTTAACCATCGGGCTAAGGGATTCTCTGCTGTATATAATTGAAAAGAACTGCTTAGGAGTTAGGATCCAAGCCTGCAGAAACTATACACTTTTTGGACACTGGCAAAGATGATGCAAAAGAGGAGGGAAAGGGAATGTGTGTTGAATGGGAGAAATTATTGGGTCAGGAAGACGTCCGGAGCCCAATGAAAATATGTCACATCGCCTCCTATTGGTATTGAGATCTATATGAGCTTGGTACTCCATAGTATTTGAGCTCGGTACTGCTCAATACCAAGCTTGGTACTGTGAAGTACCGAACTCGGTATTTCACAATACCGAGTTCAGTATTACTTGGTACTGTGAAGTACCGAACAGTAGCATGTGCCTGATGTCCGGACCCAATAATCTCTCGTTGAATGGAGGAGCATCCAAAGAGACAAAAAATAAAAAATTTTCACTAAGAAAGTCTTTTTTTTTTTTTTGTTAAGGAAAGGGTGACAAATTATAAGAGTGATATGGAGTAAAAGAGTAAAGGGAGAACAACAAAAGCTCTGGGATACTAAGAGCAAAACGAACATCAACAGAACTAACAGCAGTGAAGAAAACTACAGTATAAAATAAAGAAAACTATAGGTTAAACTTTCATTTGGGAGAATTTTTTTAATACTTTTTTAAAACAATTTTTTAATATAAAAATTCTCTTTTTTTTACTTTTTTTTATATAAAAATTTCTTTAATTAAAAATTTTTGTACTAAAATATGAAAAATGTCACAAATGATAAAGCAAAGAAAAAAAACACTCATAATGCAGATCAAAACGTGAACATATAACAGAAGCAGCAGCAAAACTAATCAGAAACAAGGCCCCTGGTTCGTATTAATATTTGAAAATATAGAGCTCTTGTGGGATCAAAAGTTTGTCACAACATCAAATTTTTATCCTATTATTGAGATCAGCTATATGACTCTTTTTTTCTCCATTGCATCATATTAAGAGTCCTCGTATAAAAAAAACTTATTAACTTAAGAATATTATGTTGTAATTATCCGTTTTTACAAAGATTTATATTCTTACATGCATATTATTATTTAATGCCAGCCGATGATGAATGATCTTTTCCTTAGACCATCTCCAACCATTCGGCTAACAACCGAATGGAGGCCCTCAAACGTCGCAACCGAATGCCTTGTCCTCTGCCATTTAATCGCGGATGAACAATGCAACCCCAATATTGGCGTCGCACTGTTCATCTGCGCCATTTTTTAGTCTACCGAACTTGAGGAAGAAAGGCGAGAAAGAAGAGAGTGACGGTTAGGGGGAAAAATGGTGTTCGAATGGAGGTGAATCACGGCACTTTTTTGTTTCACTATATTTTGAAATAAAAAATGAGATTTTCAGTTGGAGATGCCCTTACCAGCTGCTTTTATAATTCTCTCTCTCTGTCTTTAGGGGACATCTACTTACAGAGCTGCTTTTATAATTCTCTTTCTTTTGGCTCCTTTGGCCCATTTTTGTTTTCACAGTAATACTTTCTTTTTCTCGTTTAACTAAATTGAACGGTAGCCTCAAATTTCTAAATATTGAATTCAACGAGGAAGTTTGATAGTTGTTTATATATATAAATTAATTATAATCATTTATTTCTATAAATGAACAATTTAAAAACTATTTACTTATTCATATTTATGAATTATTCATTCATTTTTTAATAAATAGCTTATTATAAACTTCGAAAAAGTACTCATTTAATGAAATATTTAATAAATCACTTTATATTCACATATCTAAATTTGTCTTATATACATATATATATATATATATATAATTATTATTATTATTATTAAATGTGTATTAAAAATTAGATAAATAGATTTTTTAATTAATACTTAAACTCTATCAAACAACTTAAATAATATCTAATTAATTACACAAAATAGATATGATTTATTATTATAAAATTCATAGAAATTCAAACTAACAATAATATATAAAACCTTACAAAACTGAAATTTACAAAAAAAAAAAATGGTACAACCAATTCCCAGGAAAATTTGCGTTCTAGCTTTCATGAGAATAAAAAAATTTACAAATAAAGGGCATCATAATGTATGTAAACAAAAATAAGAAGGTGAAATATAGTAATATAGAATTTTAAAATGTCATGCATGTAAATATTCAAATAATGACGCAATCAGTTCTATCAGATAATCAGCCTAGCTTGCTGCCTGAACAAAAGCAGAAACGTAAAAGCAAACTTCTAATTCACAGAAACTAAATCCATGCAATATATAAACAATCGGAAAAGAAAAGCATCAGTAAGAGCAGGATTCAGCAAATAGAGAATTCTTTCTACAGGACTACGAAAGCGAACGCAGGTACTCTAATCGAAGCTGTGTACAGGAAACATTCCATGAAAATTGAAGGTATAGTCTGGCTTCATTCATATAATGAAAAAATTAAAATCCAAAAAATCAAAATCAAAATCAAAATATAGCTCCAAACAAGGAGAGACAAAAGAGCCAAAAGAGCACCTAAATAACAGAACCTAACATGGAAAACAACAGCCAACGAAACCCATAGAAAGTTCCAACGAGAGGGGCAGAACTTGAATAATAACAAGATAGCTGATCCAGAAGATGAATAATATATTCAAACTTCTTCCAGCATTCAACTTTAAGTTTAATAACTTTCTGAACTTTAAAGCAGATTGTAGAGCTAGTCGATATATTGTTTTGAAACTTTCTGGTATGAAGTGATTGCAGAAATTTAGAAAAAACCTTGACAGAGATCTGATTTTAATTATTTCAGAAAATTAATGGCAAGAAAATCAAGAATAAAACACAAACACTTTTTTATTGAAAGTTTTATGAAAGAAAAGACAAGATATAAGTGGATTTTCAATTAGAGAGAGATCTGGCTCTCCCAAATCTCTAGCCGCCGGCCAGAGCCCAAACACCCTAAGAACAATCTAATTTCAGCAAATAATGCCTATCCCTAACCGTAGGATAATCACCTATTTAAAGCAAAAAAATAAACAATAAATACCCAAACATACCTCCAACAATTCCCTCCTATTTCCTAAATTATTTTCCTCCCAAAAAAGCTCTCAAAGCACCCCTAAATTAGAAAGCATTTCCTAATTAATCCCCTCCAAATCAGCACACAAATCTTTCCTAATTAATCCTCTCGAAATCAGCCCTCAAATCTACCCTCTTCAATTAGGAAATATTTGCTAATTAATCAGCACCAAAATCTACTATCTTCAATTAGGAAACCTCTCCTAATTAATTTCCTTTGATTAAGAACCTTCCTAAATAGCTCCCTCTTCATTAGAAAACTTCTTAATTCACTCACAATCAAATCAGCTGGTCCATCACTTTCCTTCATTTCTATCATGTCCTATAAAATATATAGAAGCAAACATAATGAGATGGATAAGTCTTTTGTTTAAAGAAGATAAATAAGGCATATCAGAAATATGCTCAAAGAGCTAAAATAAAATAGGTCTAAACATGAAAGAGTTTAGCATAGGTACCATATTAGAGATAATAGAAAAATAAAAATAACATTGAAAACAGAGACAACTATGACATTCCGCCGCCTAATTACTGAGAATGCAATGGGGTACATTAACATTACATTTGATCAAAATATCAGAGGCTTTAAGACCTTCCATAGTCGCTAACCAAGCAAAAGATGGCTATCTTATAGTTAATTTTTGTGCCAGATGAAATTAAACCAAGCCCCATTACAGAATTCTTCATAAAAATAAAGCATAAAACTTTTAAAAATCAGAACCAATCTGACGCCGCAGAGGCGGTGATGCGTTGACGGACAAGGAAACGTGAGCTACATGAACTGGCAGGCCACGCATAACCCAAGATCTCCCCTCCCAAAGGGATGACCACCTGAAATCCTTCAGGATACAGAAACCTAAAACAATTGAGTAAAAGAACTCAAATATTATTCATCTTCCAATCTCTCATTACAAGCATTGGCTACAAGTATTTATAGACATGTAGCAACATAAAAGGCTACATGCCACCATAAAGAACACTATATTTATATAGCCATACAAACTACCTAATAGAATTAAACTATCTTGAAGTTAATAGAATTAAACAGCTCAGCTCCGGCATCATACTACTGGGGTAGGAGGCATTTCAGGCTCATAAGAAGATGTTTGGTATGCTCTTATTGTTTTTGTTTTATGTATCATGGATTGTCTCCAGGTGGTGGCCGCACGTTCCATCTCCTCTACCAACCGTGGAATCCTCATTTGCAGCAAACCACAGCCTCCTTGTTCTCCGGCTGCTTGTCTTTCACCAAGGCCGCCAAGAAACGGGCGGTTGCAGTTTTTTCATCCAAAACATCAAAGGCTGATGTCAGCCATCAAGAACAGCAGCCTACCTCCTTTACAACTTCCGTGGGCTATTTAGCTGCAGTCCACCGTCTAGTTCAATAATCCCAATAATCTTTTGCTGTCTTACTGCCAAGCAGATGATCTCCCATCATTTTTAAGGCGCTTCTGCAGCAATAGTAGCAAGGTGTCAGTGCCGACCAGGTTTTCCGTCATTGGCAATAACAAATAGGTTCTTCCGTTGCCGGCAGCCATGCTGTCTGTCCCGGTAGAAAGCTGGGCATGACTTTCGTCCATGCGTGTGCCTCATCCGAGAAACGGGGCAAGTGGTCCGTTCCAGGTAGTAGGACGATTGCTTTCTTTGTTATAAAAAAAAATATCGGGTGGTACGTCCAAATAAGTGGACAATCTTTGTGGGAAGACCAGAATCATTCCAAGAAAGTTTGGGAGCTATTATTCTTCTTCCAGCTATCAGGATAGCTACTACCAACATATTCCAGCCATTAATAATATAATTTATGGTTCTTAGCTTAGAAATCAGCGGCTATATAGAGCAAGATGTGGCCTCAACAGATTTGGTAACGATAAAGCAGAAATCGAAGATCTCCTACAAGAAATTGTCCGACAAAAACTACAATTTTTGAGGATTGAATGAAGGAAAGACTTTAGCCCCCTTGCCTAGTGTGGACCTCCGAAAGCAAGTCAGGGCTCGACAGAGTCGACTCGACTCACTGAACCCACTGGAGGGGGTCTCGAGGTCTGACTTGGTCAATTCGACCAAGTCAACCTTTTGACCAAGGTTCTGGGCAAAATCGAGGTCAACACCTAGGACTTTAATGGCGTCCAACTACGGGGCAAGTTTGCTCCCATTACGGAATCAAGATACTTCGTTCCAACTAAATCCTTACGATCCGACGACGACGACGAGGGCATTTCAGATGATCAAATCACCTCCACCCCAACCTTGATCGACTTCAGCTTCAAAGAATTTGAAGATCCGTTACGGACATCGTCGTCTTTACCTCTCTACGATGAGAGCCCGTCTATGGCGTGTACGATGACGACATGTTCTTTGAAGTTCTTGATTTTGATAAGCCGATGTATGACCATAACTAGAGCAAGATGGATGCACCGCCGGAGTTATGCATGCATATTGTTCCTGTTAAGGCAATTAATGTGCTTGCCATCACTAATAAGGGAAATGCTCTTCAAAATACATTTGATGTCATCACAAATTTCAGGGTTGTTTCAATCAAGCATTCATGTGAAGAGTTGGTTAATAGGATGATCAACCATCTTTCTCCAGAGTTTGATGCATTCAGGAAAAAACGATGGGATATGGTATTTGTCAATCAATATTTGGGTGAAGTTAATGAAGCGGAGGAAAATATATTATTATGTGATGTATGTTGGCAAATGGAGACAATAGTGAACCGTATTTTTGTTTGTTCTAAATGCAAGATTGACACCAGGTGAAAATATCGATATCGTTATAACCAACCAAACCCACCTTATTATGGTAGGCAACCGAACAACTTCTTATGAGTATAAAATTCCTCCTACCCAAGTAGTATAACGTCAGAGCTGAGCTATTTAATTCTATTAACTTCAAGATAGTTTGATTTCATTAGACAGTTTGTATGGCTATATAAATATAATATTCCTTATGATGGCATGTAGCCTTTTATTGCTACATGTCTATAAATACTTGTAACCAATACTTGTAATGAGAGATTGGAAGATGAATAATATTTGAGTTCTTTTACTCAGTTGTTTTGGATTTCTGTATCCTGAAGGATTTCAGGTGGTGATCCCCTCCCAATGAGTTCTTGGGTTATGCATGGGCTGCCAATTCCTGCAACCCGCGTTTCCTTGTTCGTCGATGCGTCGTCGCCTCCGCCGCGTCACAAATTTTTTATGATATTTGGAATCTTCAAAAGAAAAAAATAAAGGTAGAATCATCCAACATATTAGAGAGGGCGTCCATCACAACACAAAATAAATAAATTGACATCAGGCAACCCAATTTTAAGCCAAAAGTAAAACTAAAAAACTTTCAAAAAGCATCATTAATAGAAACAGAAAAATGAATATTATCAATACATCCTCTTATCCAAAATATTAAAGTGTTAGGGAATCTTCAAAAGCATCAACATGTTTAACCGAGAGATATGTAGTAATATTAGAGTTAACAGTATTTTCCACTTGTTGTAAGAAGAGGTGGAAGTGGTGGTTCAGGGATAGTAAGTCGAGGGGGGGGGGGGGGGGGGGGGTTGGGAGGGGGGGGGGGGGGGGGGGGGGGGGGGGGTTGATTATGGGGCTTTCTACTATTATCTTCGGACATAATGAAAGAAAGGGGATGTCCTTAGTAGAAAGATTCGATCAGTAAACAGCTCTTTCCAGTTCAAGGAAAGAGGAGATATAGAGGAATAAGCAGATAGAGAGTTTGTTTGAGAGTTATGATTAAGAGACAAAAGATGAGGAAAATCCACCGTAAAAATCGAAGCCATCTCAAGAGGAACATAAAAAAGTAGGGGGAAGAGGGAAGAGACGTTGGGTAGAAGCCCTAGTGCGAGGAGAGCGAAGAGGAACTAAGATCCAACTACTCAAAGAGAGCATATACTCGGAGAACCTTTTAGGTTTTTTCTCTTCTCACACCACGTGTGAAGGCTTTCTATCTAGATCCTCTGATGGCTAGAGGCTACAGACTATTTTACAAAAGGTATGTAGATGAAACTTTTGAACACTAAGTAGCATACGAAAGTTATGGTGAGAGTGCTCTGCTAGTGTTTTTCGCAAACCCTAGCCACCTTGGTCCCCTCTACACCCTACCCGCTCGGTGGATTCTCCCCTTCATATCTTCCCTTTGCTTTTTTTATACTTTTTCTTGAGATGATAACGATTTCATTGGTTGATTATTCTCATCTCATCTCTCAACTCTTAACTATAGCTCTCAAGCAAACCTCCACCTGTTTCTTCCTATGTTGGTCCTCTTTCTTTGAACTGGAAAAGGCTTCTCACCGAACGCAATCTCTCTGCTAAGGACTTTCCTTTTTCATACATCTAATTTCAAGACAAAATTGTTCAGTTCTCTGACGTGAAATCATGAATGAATCTAAAGAGTGGGGGCTTTCACTTGTATGCTACGTGATTGGTAAAAGACTTTATTACGAGGCTCTCTTAGCTTCAATGAAAAAAATTTTGATGCTTAAAAATACGTTAACATTGCTCTATTTAAGCGAGGGTTTTTTCTTGCTCAAATTTTTTGTTCTAATGATTAAGAAATGGAGAACGGTGGTTTTTGATTTTTTCTTGGCAAGCCATTTATTTTGCAAAAATTGACTTCCATGTTTAGACCTAGGCATGAGAGATTTATATCCTTAACTCTATGGATTAAGATACATGACCTTACTCTCCTTTGTAAAACCCCAGAAGGTATCTCAAAAATTATTATTGCTATAGATATTCCCCCTGTTGTCGATGTTTTAACTGTTATGAAACTCATTTAGCTTTTGCGAGCATTTGCGTTGAAATCCAAAATAATATCTTGACTAGTGAGATTCACGTCTCTATTGGGAGAAAAAATATCATCTAGATAATCCAATATGACTAGAAACTTATATTGTGTTCTAGTTGTGATTTTTTTATTCATCCCTCAAATTTTGTCATGTTAATCATGTGAAAAAAAAATACTTATAGACATAGAGAAAGAAGCACTAGTAGAAAATCCCGTAAACATACCCCTCAAATTATAATCCCAAAACCACAACTCCCCCACCTCTCCATCAAAAAGCCACAACTCGTGATTTCTAACCCACCCACAGACCCCTCGGTTGCTCATACGCTTGATCCTACTACCCTATCATATTCAAACCTTTGAAGCTCTGATTGGATTAGATAAACATCTTCCTAATCTTAATTTTTCATCTGATAATATCATTCTATCTCAAATACCTTCACTTACCAATTCCTCTTTAGCAACTGGTGGGGTGACTAATAAATGGTCCTCTGCTTTGCAGTCTAAAAAAATCATATAAATAAAGATGTTGAAGTTATTGGAGCTTCCGCTACTTCACAAACTCAAAATAATGTTTCTCAAACTCTTAAACCAACCAGGTCCAAAAATACCAAAAAGGCCACCCTTTCAAACAGTAAATCTTAATGCAGTTCACCAATATTGCTTCTTGGAATATGAGAGGATTAATAGTCCTGAAAAGGCTATTAATTACAAAAATCTTATTAGTTGCTATAACTTACATATGTTTTGCATTCTAGAAGTTAAAATTCATGATAATTCAGCTGCTGACTTTGGTTTTATATCTTACAAGGTCTTTGATAATGAAGGCTCTTTTAACAACTTTGATGTTTCTAATCCTGATAAAATCTGGCTTGAATAGAGCTATTCTAGGATATCATTTCAGATATTTTTCTATTCCAGTCACCTTGTCCATGATACTTTTTTTATTGGGCTAACCTCTATTTGTTAAGTTTTTTGTGGTTTATGCATCTAATTCTCATTTTGATAGGTTATCTCTTTGTAATGACATTTTTGCTATGTCCGCTAATGTTAATTTTCTCCAAGTCATTTTAGGTGATTTCAATTGATGCATGTTTAATAATGAGAAGGCAGGGAAAAATATTATTCATCATAGCCAGCTTTGGAATTTTCATAATCAGATTTTCAATATTGGTGTTCATAATCTTAATTTACTCTGAGTCATTTGAGGTGATTTCAATTGATGCAGATTTCATAATGACAAGGCCAGGAAAATATTATTCATAATAGCAAGCTTTGGAATTTTGATAATCACATTTTCAATATTGATGTTCATAATCTTCTCTCTACTCATCATTTGTATACTCGACTTAATCAACATAGTAACAATCTCATTCATATTAAGCTTGATAGAGCACTTATTAATGACTGTTGGTTAAAGCATTTTTTCGGTTTTTTTTTTTAATTTTTTTTTATCATCTTATTATAAAGTTGATAACCCAAGTTACTCTGATCATAGCCCCCTGGTGTAATTAAACTCTTCATTGATAAGCCTATGCATAGATTCCTCTTTAAAAAATATTGCTTAAGTAACAATACTGAATTATGGAATGCTCTAATTTCTATTTGAACTTCTCATTATGTTGGTAACTTGATTCATCCATTTTATTAAAAAGCTCCACAAGCCCAAATGCGTTATTAAAACTAAAAACTGAATCTCTTCTAACCTTATTTCCAAAAAATTGAGGATTTATAGCATGCTTAAGAAATTAGCTTTAGCAAATTAGCATAAACCCCTTGAACTCTATCCTTAATAATGCTCTTAAGGATATTAAGAGTCATCTGGTTTCATCTAGAGATCTTATAGACCAGATGAATGTCCAATGGGGAAGATAATTTGAAGTTCCTTTATAAAAAAAAATTTAAGTTATCAGATAAAATTGTAATAAAATAAATGAATTTACTACTGATTTTGGTACTTTCTCTTCTCATCACAACATCTCTAAGGCTATTATTGATCATTTGTAGAAGCTATTTAACCCTCAAAATAATCACTATCACAATCAGACACATATTTTTGTTGAAAATTGTGTTCATATGCATCTAAGAGCTACTTCAATAGCTCAAATCTCTAATGAGAAAATTTAAAATGAAGTGTTATATGCCCCCTCCTCTCTCCCTAGACCGGATGGATTCATTTTTGAATTTTATAAAAATATCTAGAAGATTATTGAGGGTCATCTTTACTCTGTTGTGAGAAATTTCTTTCTTTCCAGCTACATGCCCATATGTGTTGAAACTACTGCTATTACTCTTATCCATAAATCTTCTCAAGTTGGCAACATTGATGTCTACAGACCCATCTCTCTTTATAATATTTTCTACAAAATTATTATCAAAATCATTGCCCTTAGAATAAAACTTATTATCTCTTATATTATTAACTACAGTCAAGCTGATTTCATTCAGAAACTGAAAATATGTTGCTAACTGTTGAATTACTGAAAGATTTTAACATTAACCCTTACAATAACTTTTTGTGTCAAAATCGACATATTTAAAGCATTAAATATTGTTTCTAGAGAATTTTTACATTCCTGACTTTCCCAAAAAGGCTTCCCCCACTTTCATATCTTGGATAAAATGGTGTATTGTTAATGTTCACTCTTCGGTTTCAATTAATGTTACTCTTGAAAGCTTTTTTAGCTCTACATCTGGCTTAAGAAGGGATATCTCGTATCTCCTTATTTATTTTGTTTTGTGATAGATATATATATCCTATCTAATATGTTAGATGATTCTACTACTATGTTTTTGAAAGTTTCAAATATGAGACACTATTAGTCACATGCTTTATGTTGATGATTTTCTGGTTTTTGAGAAGACAACTATTCTGAATGCTTTAAACAATCAAAAGAATTCTAAATGAGTTAATAATATGTCTGGACTTAAAAGTTAATAATAATAAAAGTTCTATTTTATTTCTAATAATTATTATCATTCCACTGATATATGTAGCATTCTCAACATTATTTCTCTAATACTAAGCTTAAATATTTGGGATTACCTATCTCTACTAAAAGTCTTATTTTTTTTATTGATTTTCAACCTCTTTTATAAAAAAATTATGGTCAATAAAGAGTTAGAAGGCTAAATCTTTTTTCTTTTGTTGGACAATCAATTCTTTAAATTTACGATTTGCAATAACGCCTTAACATACTGGATTAAAAGAGCTATTATTCCTAAAGATTGTTGTAAGTTTATTGACGAAGTTTATTCTAGATTCCTCTTTCATTGGAATATTATTAAAAATAAAATTCATACTATATCTTGGAGATTTACTTCTTGTCCTAAGAGTAAAGATGGCGTGGGCATTCCTACTATTCAGTCCTTATATTACGATTTCACTAGCTCTCTGATTTGGCGCCTTAACAATAGAGATAATCCCCTTGCTAAATGATATAAACACAAATATATTTCTATTTGGAAGTATTACTCTCCTAAAGCTTCTAAGTATTGGAAGTCCATAAACTTTATTACATCCAAAATTAGAAACAATATTACCTTAAACATTCATTCTAACAGTTCTCTTTCTCTTATCTCCTTTGATATAGAAATAAAGTTTTGAATGAGGTTTTTTGACTCGACGGTGTTAAAAAATTTTCATAACATGCAGGATAACAGTTTTGCTATTACTAATGATTGGACCTTCCCTTCTCTGTTTCCTGCTAACCTTATAAATGATATTGAGCATGTTAATTTTGCTGCAGCCTCCTCTCCTACGATCTACTGAATTTTTTTCTGAAAAACCTGTTTTTAAAAAATTTTATGCTGATTTCAATGATGATTACAGCAATGTGTCTTGATTTAAATTCATCTGGCATAAAAACTTTGCTCTCAAATATTCTTATTTTCTTAGTTAGTGATTCTAAAAAATCTCAAAACCTCAAATGTTCTGATTAAATGCAATGTTAATGTGTCTTCAGGTTGCATTCTTTGTAACCATGCTGCTAAAAGTCACAAACATCTCTTTTTTTAATGTGATTTCTTTTTTTCAATTCTTTCGAATATGATACATCTGCTGAACTCCTTCCTGTTTAGACCCACTTTATTGCAGCTATTTGAGCACATTTTTATATGCCTTCTATATATAGTTTAATCATAAGGCTTCTTATCTTATTATTTGTAGTTCTAGATATTTCACATAGCGTGAGAGGAATGAAAGAAGGATTCAAAATGATATCTCTAATATCTCTACCATCTGCTTTAAATTCTTAAGGTTATTAAACTTAAAATTGCCTCCTTGAAGATGGAAGGATACATTATTCATCTTGTTGATTAGCTACTTTGGTTTGCTGCTTGAAATATTCTTCTTGGGAAGTCTTGTGAGTTCCTTTAGCTGTTGTTTTCCCCATTTTGTTCTAGCAGGTACTCCGGCTATGCCCTATTTTGTGGGGCAGCTCTCTCAATTTTGAGTATTTGATGGGCTTTCGCTTCATTTGAGGGATGTTTTTTTTTTTTTTGACACAATGATGAATGCCAGCTGTGCTACAGCAGTTCCCCAAGAAGGTCATCGTGGCAACCAGCTGGCATCTTGGAAGGCCCAAGTGGCAACCAGGGGGCTTTATTGAACGTCCGTGTAAACCTGAAGTTTTTGTTATTTTCGGGTATTCTACGTCATAATTTTTTTGTAATTCAGATAACTTTTTTTTGGCCTACTCATTTGTTCTCATTTATGTGTTTGATTGATCTTTACCCTATTCTTTCACTGTCTTGGCCTCTCTTATTTTGGAGTTGTATTTTGATTTAAATTTTAAGGTTATAATTTTTTTATTATATGAATGAAGCTGGGGTATGCCCTTATTTTTCCAAAAAAAACAAAAAACACACTGGAAAACCAAATATTTCAGAAGAAATTCATAAAGTGAAAGGACAGTGCAACATGAAGTTCACCTTGATCTATTAATTGGGAGCTTTGACTACCTATCAAGAGGTCGTAAATTTGAAGCTTATGTATGTAATGTGCATGTGAGTTTGTTTTAATTGGCTCAAAAGCTCAAAAAAAAAATTGAAAGTGCAACTACTAGAACTTAGAGACAGAAGTTCATGAAACCAGGAAATGAAATTAAAGGCAACTCAGCCACATATTTCAACAGATGCAATTTTTCTCACTAAATATAAGCATAAACCTTGAGCAGTTCAGGAAAATAAGTGATTCAGTTTATAGTTTGAACCAACAACATAATAGCATACAAAACAGAGATGGATAGTTAATGAATTGAAAACAATCCCTGCAATGATGACTAGTAACAAGGCAGCCAGACTAATACAAGGATGTCAGAGTGGAGTTTGCTAATGTACGAAGGCCTTGGGATTTGGAGTTCTCAAATACACAAAATTTTATAAGGCACAAACTCTAAATTTAGATGAATTTTTCATTTCATAAGGCAAAAACTAAAATACGAATGATAATTTAACAACTTCCAACTAGAAATAAATAGTTCGTAGATTAAAAAAAAATCATATAAATAATTGAATAGTATGCTTCTAAAAAATTAGATTGCATCACACTTCGATCAAAATCAATCACACTCTCAAACAAATAATAAAATAAAGGAAATATTAGAAAAGGAATTTCACAGTATTAGAATCAAGCCTCAGAGTTTGATCGAAGATATAACCTTTTTAAATTTGAAATATCTAACCCAAAAGTGTTCTCCTAGTTAGAAGTTATAACACAAGTAACTAAAATTTTATTCAAAACTAGCTGATTTTTTTATTCACATTTCTCAAAGCCACTTTACACAATCACAAGTGAAAAATTTTTGTAAAATAAAATCACCATTGGAATAGTTGAAATCCGGATAAGCGATAAATAGGATGAATTGGGAAAACCCAACAGAAACTGCACCTTCCATTGCACCTAATCCCACAAAAAAATTACTTGGCCCGATTAATTTTGGGAACAAAATATGCTAAAGCAACCTCCATCGAGAAGCATCAAGTTATAGCCTAATTCAAAGAACTCAATTAGCTCCTTGATACACGGTGAACTGTGAGGCAGTTGAAATAGATGAAAACAATCCATGATGATTGGAGAGGTAGATACAAGAATTGGATTGAGGAAGACAAATGAATATGTTAAGCAACAATATATTTTTTTGGATTCAAAAATAGTACAGCAACAATATCAAGAATGGGGAAATAATTAAGAAAATTCAAAATTGACGTCAAGAATGTTAACCTCTGTATAATACCCACAGGAAATAAAATTGAAATCATAATTAAGAAAATTCAAAATTGACGTCAAGAAAATAAAATATTTAAAGTCTATCATACAATAAGGAAGCACTACAACAACAGGCCAATTACAACAATTCATTATTCAATTTATTTCAAGCATTAAATAGTTCACAAATCCATAGCATGTTCTTCTATTTAATTGAATTGAACTAGCTAATATAACCCTTTATTAAATTCAAAACTAATCTATGTAAACATTACAAAACATAAAATGAACGCTTTAATATATATATATATATATATACCCCAAATGTTGTAATTGAATTCAAGAAATAAGTTTTATGATTTCTTCCTTTTCTAATTACTTTTCTTCCGCATCTTGTACCTGAAGGAGTCTACACCTACTGAAAAAGTGTCTTCCCCCTCTTGATGTAGATCAAGAAGCATAACAAATGGTGCCCTCGTTGAGACTAAAAATTCCATTTCTCCCTCTTCCTGCCGGCCAACAAATTCACAGCCGCAGTCAACACTTCTTTTCAGCCGCCAGCCTCTTCTTCTCCCCAAGAACTTACCTTTCCACCTCCTACACTATTGGCCAGCACTCTCCAGCATAAGCCAACCCTCTTTCTAGCCACACCATGCCTCTTCTCCACCACTGAAACTCCATTCTCCACCTAATGCTGCGGACCAGCAGTCTCCATTGCCCCAGCCTTCATTTCAGCCCACTATCTGTCATTCCCCACTTGCAAATTCACAATTCTTCTCGAGCATTCATCAAGTACCAATTCAAGAACCTTAAATCATCATGAAAAACCCAGATTTGGCAGCTCTTTAAACAATGCAGAGCAATCAAGAATTACAATTCTCCATAATCAAAAAATCTCTACAGGTGAACGTTCAATTTTCCTTCATTAGCTCACCACTTCAACAATTTCATATTTTCATGCAATCTATTGATAAGAAACTTAATTGTTTGTGCATTGCCACTCACCTCCCCCACTCCATCAAGATCCTTCCTCTTTCATCAGCATCCTTGATTTTGCCAATCCAATCCCTTTCTCCATAGCCTCCACCGTCTCCTTCAAGTTTCTCTTTTCTTAAATCAATAAAAGTTAAACTTCCTCGCTTTAATGAATTCAACGTCGAAACATGGACCTATAAAGCACAGAAATACTTCGATTTTCAAAAAACTCTTAATTATCATCGTGTTAGCATAGCTTCCTTTCATCTTAAAGGGCCCACGGCTACTTGGTAACAAAGGTTATGCATGAAAGCTCTTTATGCTTCTTTTCCATCTCTTAACCTTGAGAACAAGGTTGTTTTTCATGACAATAGGAGTGTTAAGCAATATCTATATTTTTTAGGATTCAAAGATATATATATATATATATATATATTCATCAGGTTTGTTGTGTAATAGAAAAGTCTCCCTCAAACTCAAGGAAAAATTCTATAAGATGATGGTTAAACCTGCAATGCTTTATGGTGCTGAATGTTGGCCATTATAAGGGAAGCATAACATGAAGTTAAGTGTTGCAGAGATGAGGATGCTCAGGTGGATGAGTGACTTTACTCTTAGAGGCAGGATATGAAATGAGCATATACGTGAAAAGATTGGAGTAGCTCCAGTGAAAGATAAGATTAGAGAGAGTCGTCATAGATGGTTTGGTCACATAAAACGGACGCCTTCCGATGACCCGGTTAGGAATGTAGATGTATTAGATTTAACTTATGTTAAGAAAGGTAGAAGTAGATCTAAAAAGATCTAGTTAGAAAATATTAGAAATGACCATTCTTTATTAGATTTAAAAAATATATATATAAAAAAAAAACTTTTAACAGGGCACAATGGAGAAAAATGATTCATGTAGCCGACCCCACAACCAAGTAAAGACAAGTAAGGAGGACTTAACAAAAAGATAGGAAAAAAAGAACTTCTGCAACAGAGCCTCTCTTCAAGGTTGCTAATTTCTAAGGGATCAATTAATCTTGTTGTTTACTATTTTCAATTTTAATAACTTCATAGTATGTAACATTTTTTATTCACAACAATCTCTCACTAGATCCATTACTCTACATTCTGCAAAAAAGAAAACATAATTTGCTTTACTTACTATAAAGGTTCAACATAATCCATACACTACAAGAAACCTTAGCCTAATTGTAAGCATTCTAAAGCGTTCTAATAATAAATAACACACACATAGCTTTCGCCTTTGAAACATACAACCCCATAGAATCCAATGCGGAAGAGGAGGCTCACCAATAATAACCATCTCAATCTTGGATTACTCTCCTAGTAAATGTAATTGAAAACGAATTGCACAAGCCTAAACATAGTTTCTGAAGCTTGAGTTATTCTTCAAGACAAGTCAAGCTAACTGGAGACCCACCAAAGCTAACTTTAACAGAACAATAAAAACCTCATTTACACCTTCGGGAAAATTAAGTGAGAACCGCAATATAGAAAACATGAAATGGAGAAAATTATTTTTAAACATCACATATTTCTCAAATCTGCTCTATAATCTAACATCACGTTTGATATAGAAAAATAGTTAAGTGTTTTTATTTCCAAGAACAATCAAATTCTCTAGCAAAATGGCTAAGAACAAAACTTACAAGCCCAATACAAAGGGGTTGCTCGGTTCACTGTTATTATGAATAAACTACTATTTAAACAATAAGACTGTATAAATGCACGTATTTAAATGGTTGTTAATTTCATCTACAAGACTAAATGATTGTGCAACTATATGGAATGATTAATGAGGATTCTAGTCCTTTTATATCAATTCTGGTAGCCAACATCATAGACATCAGCTATGTCATTCACTCACTAAGAGAGATTCCAATAGCTTCAAAAACAAGATAGCAATGTCAAATAATTAACAAGTATTATTCGAGCAACACTATGCCAAAGATGCCATAAAATAATAATGAACTCAAATATTTTGTTAGATTCCAAATCAAGGAAGACGAATCACAAATAATGCCAGGACGGAACTCAGTGGCAACAATGCAGATAGGACTAAAGAGGATCATCCTCCAGCTAGGATAAAAGGCTTCCATGTGGAAAATGGGTGACATGGGTTGTCTTGGGTAAGAAAAGAGTATAAGATTAAGTTTGTTTCTGGTTGCTAAATGATGACAACTGTAACTAGGGATGAACGAGTCGAGTCAGGAGGTGTTCGAGCTCGACTTGCGAGTCAAATACTGAGCTTGAGTCGAGCTCGAGCTCAAATCGCGACAGTGTAACAAGCTCATCAAGCCGCTTGTCGAGCCGCTCAAATTCGCATCCGGTTTTTATTTTCTCGCTAGGATTTTGATAATTTGATTTACTGCCCAGTTTTTATTTCCCAATAGGTTTTTTGTTTTCCCACCCGTTTTGAAAGCTTTCTCATTGGGAAAAAAGCCTGCATATCTTTTTTATACAAAAAGAAGCTTTGGGATATCTTTTAAATTATATATATATATATATATTAAATTTCATTGCAGCATTGATTAGAAATGGTATTTGAAAATTTGTTTATTAACTATACGACTACAAAACACTTAAACTTAATTTTTTTAGAACTTTTAAATGTAATTAA